AGTTGGTATAGAAAGAAAATGTGTTCTTTCTGAACTCAGTAATTTATGGGAACGAGGAGGATCTTACATGCATGGCAACGGTGTTCGTGGGAAGGGGAAAAAAAAACAAAACCACAGAAGCAACAGAATTAAAAAAAACCTGAGTAGAACTTCAATCACACAGTTGTAGCTGCCATCTTGACTTTTTAGATTCTAACTAGGGGTGACTTGGAAGATGGACTACTCTTCATGTCTTGTATGTATGTGCATACAAGTATGTATGTGCATTGTATGTGCAAAAAAAATATTTTAACATGTACAGTTTTCAGCACTTGAGATAGGCCAGAAACACATTTCCCAACTGAACAGAACTATTGAACTACTGAACTGACTACTGAAATTCTATTATTGCATGGTATAATAACTGAACCTAGAAAGCCAGGAAAAATTTCTCTCTCCTAATTCTCATATAAAGAGTCAGACGTGGCAATCTTGAGTCTCTTCCTCACTTGCTCTTCCCTTTTGGGGCTAAGTTGGTGTTTACCTAACTGCTAACATTTTCAGGGCCAACTCCAAAGTCCTGTATAACGTGAAATGTTATAAAGTTAATATGCAAAACTGTTGGTAAGTTTTAAATAAACTATAACTATGCTAATTTAATATTATATATTTATCACTATTTTACCTCAAGATTGTATAGCATGGATCATTCTGACCATAACCATTTATAGAATATATGGCATATCAATGAATCAACAATGACTACTTAATTTTCTCAAAATGGCAAGCTGATAAATATCATTATGACACAACTAATATTCTTCTAATTCAGACATCACACTGGGTTAATAATCAAAGGTCAAAGGTCAATATAACTTTCTTACAGTGTTATGTCAGCATATTGCACTAATATTAATTTATGCATGATATTTTGCATAAAGATCTCAGATATTATTGCATTCTAGTAAAATAAATCAAGCCATATTAAACAAAACTAGTAAGTTTTCAACTTTTTTAAAAAGTCTATGACTTTTTCTGATCCATGAATAATGACGTGACTGTAATAGTAAGTTAACTGCAAGAAGAATCAGATTAGAGGCCAAAAAGTAACTTTTATTACTACTCATAATATTTTGAACAATCAATACCTAACTTTATTTTTAGTCCAACCAAATAATAAAGCTTCCCTATTAATTAGAACTTTGAAAAGATTTAAAGCTGTTACTACTCCTACAAAAATGTTCTCTTTACAGCAAATGCACCTGACATTTTAAAGAGTAAAACATTAAAAAAAATCACATAATTAGTCTTGCAAATTAAATGTAATATTTTTAACATTTTACTTAGAGTTATGTAAACATGGTTTTAAAATAAAGCATTTACTTAACAATAAAGTGGAAAAAAAATTCCTATCATTGCATGGGAATAATTTTCAGAATTCTTTTAAACTCTATATTTAGAGTTGATACTAATTTTACTAGTTATTTTTTTAAAGTGATGACATGATTTTGGGAGACTAAAATGTTTTGCACTTTAAAAAATGGAGGGAAACACCCAGTATTTAATCAATAATTATGTCTATTCCATTTCTGATCGTGTTTGATCGTTTGTAACATTTGAAATTGTTTATGTATGTAGACATAGTCTAATTTGGAAGGAAGTACACTTTAAGAGATGAAATTCATTGCTTGCATATTAGAATATGTGCATCACTCAAAAGTTTTGTGAATTTATGAAATCTCAGATTTAGCATGTGTCTGAGACTTCTTGCAGCAAGCATATTTAAGTTGTAAGTTAAGAGCATTACGTTGGGAAAATATAGTATTAAACTAACAATATTTTTAATCATTTCCCTTCTCTCACTTTTAACTTCATTTCAGCATATTTTAATTCATTTTGCTTACTCTACTATAGTGCCGTTTACTATTTCTTTCTGTTTCACTTTGCAATATTGTATCAGAATACTGTATATCATCACTTAGATGACACATCTGAACCACCTAAATGTGGAGGTATCCTTTGCTCAAGTATTTGCAAATTTTTTTGCTGAGTCTAATCTAGTTTGGGAGTTTGAAATAGGGCAGAATACCAGTTAGAATGAAGCAAATGAGAACAAAGGATGGATGTTTCTAAAGAAAATAATAGATCCTAATTTTTGGTATTATATTCTATTAAACCAATGAGGCCATTCTGTTGATTGAATAGCATTACAGGTGCAGAGAGAGAGAGAGTTAAAAGAAGTATTGTTATGCAGATATAATTATCCTGGTATGTTTGATATAGCCTGGTGATTTGAATCTAACATATTCTGAGGATCATATGAAAAAATATTGAATAAAAACCAAGGACAGTGATTTGATTATAGATTTGTTTTCTGAACCTTCCTTGTTTCTATTATGATGTATATATCTTGGGAAATCCTATTGTTTACACTCATTATATGAGGTTGTTTTACTCTCTGCTTCTGCCTATCTAACTGATTATCAACTCATATCAATCAAACTTATTATAAATCCATATCACACATATTAGAACATTTTAAAAATGCTAAATTTGCTTAGGCAGCTTTGGTAAAAGCCTCTGGAAATTCTAAGGTCTAATGGATCTATGGCAATTCACAACCATCCAGATCATGGTTGTCCCAAAGGTGCTTTTCCAAAAGGCAACTGGACTTTATTTATTTTTTTTTCCTTGAAAACATTTTGCTTCTAGAACTGAAAAAACTTCTTGGATGAGAAGTGAAACATTTTCAAGGAAAAAACTCCCAAGAAAGTCCAGTTGCCTTTTGGAAAAACACCTGTGAGACTCTGTCAGGATTGAGAGATGGTGAGGTCCTACCCTATGGAAAGTTGTACAGGCCCTGTTTGGTAACTGCTAACAGGGCCCGTACATACACATAGATCTATCTATCTATCTATCTATCTATCTATCTATCTATCTATCTATCTGGGGTGGGTTCTACTTACCTTCGCAACGGGGCTGCGCGTGTGTGCTTGCTTTGCTCACGCGTGCGTGCATGCGCTCTTCTGCAAAAGCGCAGAAGCTTCTGTGCATGCACAGAAACATTTTGATGACATCGGGGTCGGTGGGCGGAGCCTCCCACCGGTTTTACTACCGGTTCTATAGAACCGGTGCGAACCGGGGGGCAACCCACCACTGATACACACACATACACACAAAGTTTAAGTCCACACATTGTAAAGTTGCCAAGTCTGAAAAACACTGTTCTGGAAGATGATCCCTTTAACTTTCCTTTTCAACTATTTCCTCTTCTCTTTGTCCATTTGTTTTTGGAGAACATTTTTTCTTTTCAAAGTCAAATGGAACTGTGATAGATTTCCCTGGCAATTTTCCAATTATATAAAATTAAATTAAATTTCCCTTGGGTCAGTGTTTCCCATCAATTTAATAACAATCAAATATTGTGCTAGATCTTAAGTGCCACTGAGAATTAAGAAACAGGTGAAGTGGAATGTGATCCTAATCAGTGATTAGGAAGAGGAGGAGAAGGAGGTTGCCAAGATTATATGGAAATAGAGAATTCAGAAAGAACAGAAACATGAGAATTGCGGCAAGTTAGATTAAATCTCTTTGTACCTCTTTCAGGCTATTTTGACTATTGCTGTGTCTTGCCTCGCCTGACCTACTGCTAACAAAATGTGTCTGTATTTAAGAGCAAAAGAAATTATTGCTCTCTTTTCTCTTGCATTTTCCTCTTCTCGACATAGATAGAAGTGAAGCTGCTCTGTTTTATATTTACTAATAAATTTACCACATATAATTAATATTAGTGAGTCTTCACTGATATCTAGGTCAACATACAGAGCAGGCCAACAATATTATGAACATTTTGCTATTTCAGGAGAATATCTGCAAATTAATTCTTCAATATTCTTATATCCACATCCTCTAAGAAGGCTTCCTTCTGCACTCATTTCTCCATTTTTATGAGAAAAAGTAAAGGGCTTTGGACTCTACTGTTTTTAACTGTTGTCTCCATTAATGCTGCCAGTGGAGAATCTCAGGTTAGTTTATAAAGAACAAATCTCTGATTTTCTTTTCCTTTAGGCAGCTGCGTACTAAATCCTTTTGTGGCCAGCCAGTCATTGTGGAAATTTAGTCCTTCAGTCCTGAATCTTAAAATAGAAACACATTCTAATTTATATGAAGTTATTAATTCCCAAACCATGTCTGATACCTCTCTGATTTCATTTGCCATTTCCACAACATCGTCTAACCCAGGGGTCTCTAATCTTGGGAACTTTAAGACTTGCGGACTTCAATTCCCAGCTTTGCTGGCTGAGGAATTGTGGGAGTTGCAGTCCGCAAGTCTTAAAGTTGCCAAGATTGGAGATCCCTGCTCTAACTCTTAATCTAAATAACAATACATACCTTCCAGCTTTTTCTTTTCATGTTCTTGGCTAATAATCAGGGCAGAGTTGGAACAGGAATAGTGGCTGTGTGGTATCTCTGTTGAATTTTTGAGTAATTGTGTTAATTGAGGAAATGTATTTTGTAAAACATGTTTGATAGTTTAGCATGCTATGAATTCTATGTGATTTATTCAATAAAGCTTTGTTAAATGATGATTTAAGGTTACATTCTAGACCAGGGTGTCATCATGATGTCGTAACGTGATGTATTGCAACTTCCCCCCCCCTTCACTAAACCAGGCCTGGGTGTGGTCAGCACATGACGCATCTGGCCTATGCGCCACGAGTTTGACAGCTCTGTTCTAGGCATACTAGACACAGATTATATCTCTGAAGGAAGTAAACCAGGCTCTGCAGCAATCATATGATACTTTCCATTCTATCATGGCTCAGGTTTCTTCTGCTGCAGTGACGTTGTCTCTGATCCATGCCCCCACTAAGGAATTTGTGTGAATGAGACAAGAACATCAGTATTCCAACCCTCTTTCCATTGCTTCATACAGGAATCTGGTTGTCTACAACCAGAGGTTATGTAGTTCAGCTGTGAAAAGCACCATTAATATTGCTGAATGTAGTAAATCATGGAAATTGTGCTCTACATGATATAATTGAATTAGAGAAATGGGACTTGGAGACAATTTTTCATAAATATTGATCCTTGAGGAAGGATTGTGGATAAAATGAAGGACTGCTTATCTTCTTATATAAAATTGTTATACTCTGTACGCCACATTCTTCCTTTTCCACCTTCATTCTTGGGGATCAATGGCTCCTCAAATTGTTTCTAGCTTCTTTCAAGGAACCCCTTCAAAAGAGTAAAAAAAATTATAATAGTGAGTTTATAATATATTTCCTATTCAGATCACATCTTCTTAAGATATTTAAAATGTTAACCAACCATCCAAGTAGTTTTGTACTATTTACTGTTACATTTACATTTGTATTATGTCAATTTTATGAAATGAGAATTCTTCTTTCTGTATTGTTTCTAAAAGAGGTAATAATTGAAGAAAGTGTGTGATGATATTCTGACATGTTTTCCCACTACTGAGGTATTTATAAGTTTCCTAGTTTTGACAATGAGGTAGGGGATCAGTTGATTATTTTAAATATACATTCCATCACAACTGTAATTAAAAAGAATATTAATCTGCATAAAATTCATTTACCGTAAAGAGAGTGATCCTTATAGCTATGTAATTATGGAATAACTTTAATCAATAATAAGATGTTAATCCATATTGATGTAGGCCACTAAAATAATGTGAATGTGACAGCTTTGGAAAGGTTTAACAGATAGGTTAATATGTATGTTGCTTTATTCTGTTGCTAAGTGAAGCTGTTTTACTATATGGGTAGAATGTTCTCCTCTGTAATAAATCAATCTTTTTCCTAATATGGTATCTGACACAAGTACTACACAGCTGGAGTTTTGTTCCTTTCTTTTCTTGTCTTTCAGCATGGAATGTTTGTAGCCATATCCAGCCCTTCAGTTTGTTTTTAATCTCTCGGTGTTCCTAAATGTTTTTACTGCCCCATCTTTCAAAAAGATCACTTAGAATTGCTGTAAATGATACTCTTTCAACGCTATAAACCATTCACTCGAATAATCTATACCGCTGCAAATTCTTCACAGGAGAAGTTGGTTATTTTTTTTCTTTTTGCAGGACCTCAGTAATGGTTTATTGATTATCCACTATAGAAATATGCTGCAAGCTAATTGATACACTGAAGCTGCAGATACGTTCTTATGGATCCTTTCCATAAAACAGAACACTTCCATTGTTTTTGGGAGATTGGCCAAGGTGGGCTGTATTTGCTCCCTAAATCAACTGCTGTCCTATTCTTTATCTCCCTGGCTGTTAAAAAAAATATTTTTTAAAAAGGTACAAAGTTAAAAAATAAACAGAAAACGATAATTTGAAAAGGATAAACTCGCAGAAAGGAGAATGAGTAAAAGAGAAGAGAGAGAGAGAAAAAGAAAGACAGAAAAAGAATGACTTCTGACTTTTTTTGGTACAGAGATAGATTTAAAAATACATATATAAAAAGACTTGGACAAATTTTATTTCTGCTTGGAAACCACTTTTAGCATTATAGAACTATGGAAATAATCTAGACAAATTTTAACACCAACTCTAGGGTTAAAATTTGTCTAGATTATTTCCATAGTTCTATAATGCTAAAAGTGGTTTCCAAGCAGAAATAAAATTTGTCCAAGTCTTTTTATTCATCAGGCTGCCAATTTTGCCATGTCTGTCAATTCTATCAACTTCACCATCCATTCTTCAGTTGTGAAGCCAAAAGTATATCAGAATTCCTAATAATCAGAAAGTAATTTCTCAAGCCAATGGTCACCAAAAATACGAAATCCTATTTACTTTTTTATATCATACTTCAGTCTCAATGCAATCAAAATAACTTGTAGCATCTTATAGTCTATATAATAAATAAAATTAACTGAGATTAAAATAATATAAAAATAATCACTGTGACCATATCAGCTTCCCCATCCCCTTAAAGAACAAAGTCAGTGGAGACAGCAAAAATAAAGAAGATAAAATTACCCTCACCTTGTTAGTTTAACCAAGGATCAAAGCCAGGAAGATATGTGGGATTGCAATTACTATTGCAATTTATTCATTAAATGTATATTGTGGCTTTCTTTCAGGAGCTCAAATCAGTGCACACTGTGCTCTCTACTCTTTTTTTTCTTCCCATAGAATCAACCCTGTAATGGACTGAGAGAAATCCATTAGCTCAGTGGTGATCAACTATGGTCCCTTTATGACTTCAATTTCCAGAATTCCTAAGCCAGCATGATTGGCTCAAGAATTCTGGGAGTTGAAGTTCACAAGCCATAAAGGGATCATAGTTGCCCACTCCTACATTAGCTCAAAGTCACCCAGGGAATTCCCATGGCAAGAGGTGGATTAGAATCTGGGATCCCCCCACTGTGTCCAACATTTAATCATTACCTTACTTTGGCTTTCATTTAAAATATTTTTAAGGGAATCAAGATAAACAAAGATAAAATGAATCTATAACATTGCCAGGTTTATATTTGGGAGAGATACTAATGATAACTTCAGAAATTTGCATACAAAAGCAAAATAAAGCATTTTTAATGTACCTGTAAAGTGGTCTGTTCCAACGACCTTGGAATAGAACAAGCAACTTTTGCAGGAAAAATGCTGATTAAAAACAAAACTATCAAAATAAAACCACATAAAATCTCATACATAACCAACATTGTATATGTTGAATATTATCTTAGTTAGACAATAACTGGTTCTATCCATCTATTCTTTTCCTGCTTGCACTGATTTGCAGTGGAGACTCAATCATTTACCCAAATCTTCCTATATGCTTCATTAAGCAAAATTAATCTGCTTCTTTTCTCCAGCTTCCTCCCCTTTGCCAAGCACAGAAGATCTATTACAGTGCTTATTTCCTCTCAATTCTCTTTGATCTCACACTTAATTGTAACGGGACAGCATGTATTTTGCAATCAGTAAAATTGCATTTTTTCCATCCAAGCTGCATTCCTGATTTCTCATCACAATGGGTCCTTTGCAAGAATAGAAGATATTTGGGAGGTGCAGACTTGGTCCTGACCCAGAGTGAATGCATAGGCTTAACATTAATAGCCAACATGGCACCCAAGAGGAAATTCAGGCTAAATACAACAAAATAATTGGTTATCAAGAACTAGACCAAACCAGCTAGATTACAATCCATGAATACTGTATATGCTTTCATGTATCACCAACCCTTCATCACATGCATGGAATATTACCATGATTCCGGATAAATATCTATTCATTTTTCATTCGAAAATAAAATTTGAATAAATGTAAATGTATTTATTGTTTTATTGGTCCATTAAATGTCTTCAATAAAAATTGGTATTTTAGTAAATTCTTTTATAGTAAGGAAGCTACTTATTCAGGCATTTGTTATTGCTGCGTATCAGGACATGGATATTATAAAAAAGTATTACAGTAAAAGATGGATTCATCTTTCAACAAAATGAATGGAAAGTAGAAGTAACTATGAGAAGAGTACACCACTCCTCTGCTTGCAATAGAATACCTTATGCCATGAGGCATAAGGACCTGGACAACCTAGAACTACGAGGCCTATGTTCTGACCTAAGCTTAGTACACAAAATTGTCTGCTACAATGTCCTACCTGTCAATGACTACTTCAGCTTCAACCGCAATAATATGCGGGCAAACAATAGATACAAACTCAAAATAAACCGCTCCAAACTCAATTGCAGAAAATATGACTTCAGCAACAGAGTGGTCAATGCCTGGAATGCACTACCTGACTCTGTGATTTCATCCCAAAATCCCCCAAATGTTAACCTTAAACTGTCTACCGTTGACCTTACCCCATTCCTAAGAGGTCTGTAAGGCGCATGCATAAGTGCACCAGCGTGCCTACAGTCCCTGTTCTATGGGCCCCATTTATTTGTACTCATTTCTTATGTATATACAGTACTTACTATACCTGTTTATACTTATATGTTTTATGTTATATTCATACTAATACTTGTTTTCTCATACATGCTTGACAAACTAAATAAATAAAAAGAAAGAAAGAAATAGGATGTGGAAGCGGCCTGTTAGAGAACAGCCAGAATTATGTTACAAAATACCACAGAAGTATATGGAATTATGTTAGTGGGAAATATGAAATATCAAAAGAGTGTTACAATGAAGTGAAAGAGGCTGTGAGTCAGGAAAAAGCATAGAGAATGATTGCTGCAAAATGAAGATTAAATTATTGTACAATGGGTAGAAAAACCAGTTACAAAGCATATTGTCTAAAAGAAGAAGGAAACGTGAAACGAAGAAAACATGAAGATATTTTGATAAAAATAAGCGCTGATTTAGAAATGAGGGTAAACAAGAAGCATCTAACAGAGTGAATAGAATTAAAATTAAAAGTGATGAAATTTTAGGGGAACTGAAATTGAAGTAAAAGAAGGCTGGAAGGACTGTTTTAGGGATTTGTCTAGCAATGAGAGAAGAACTGAAACGAATATTTACATTTTTTAGAGTCCAAGAAAAAAACTGGAAAGGAAGCTATATGCTGTAAATTAAAAAATGGTATAATTGGATAAATATTAAAATATGGATGATATGTATTCTAAACACTGCTGTTCTCTTTACACTTTTGTACCAGCTTATAAATCCCCACCCCTGAAGTCTAACTTGGTGAATTTATGAATCTTTCACAGGTGTTTAAGAAATTAAGAAATCAGGGGCGAGGCACCATTGAATGGTGATTTAACTGAAGGCCTGGTAATCTCTGAAGAGCTTTAATTCATCCTACTTTTTCTCTTAAAAATGTGCAGAGCTACTGATGGCTATGTAGAAGGATGGATTAACCCTCTTTAGTTTTTAGGGTTTTTTTAAAGATAAATTTCCTCTGTTGTAATGATGCTGCCTTCAAAAAGGAGTGGTTGGAATTACCAGGGTAATCATAGGGATAATGGAATAACAAAAGCTGGACTGCCTCTTGTTTTCTGAATATCTCTAGGAAATCAGTGTATTTAGAATAGAGTAGAATAGAATTTTTCATTGGCCAAGTGTGATTGGACACACAAGGAATTTGTCTTGGTGCATATGCTCTCAGTGTACATAAAAGAAAACATACATTCGTCAAGAATCATAAGGTAGTCATAATGATAGTCATAGGGTTTAAGTCTTATATTACCTCTTAATCTTTTCGACTTCTGGAATAGAAACTGAATGTATTCTTTGCAATGGAGGGATTTGAAGCTTATTGGGCTGTTTAATCAATTCTTTAAGATTCTGAGTACCATGCCATGCAATGTCCAGATAGCTCACGGGGAAGGGAGAAACTTGATAAAACTCTTCCACTGTTATGTTTATTCACAGACAGAGATAGGTCAGATAATGTACTATGAATAGGAACTTCAATTTGGCTAATTTGCCAGGATTTTATCTGCTAGACCTTTCTGGTACTGATCTATTAAAGCAACCTCATTTCAGCTTAAGTCTTGAGCAATTTATGTAGTTTGACACTGAGCTACATCCTTAGTGTAACTTTCTGAGATGGCATTGAGTGGTTTTTCAGAAGGCTTTGTTGCAGCAATGGAATAGTTGATTTTGCAGATGGTCCAAATAGACTAATAATGAAGCCAACTTTGATCTGGTCAGTGGAAACATCTTCGGGACAAAGGCTCATAACAAAGGTTGTTATGTTCCAGGACTACTGGAAACTGGCCAAAGGATCCATATCATTTTTAGAAACAGTGATTGGACACTTATGATTGGGAAGAGATCATTGGAGCAATTGGCTGGTTTTGGTGGAATTGCAAGGCATAAATTTTTGTGTGGACTTGGAAAGCTGAGTGGTCCATTTTGCATTTTCAGCTAGCAGTTCATCTTGACCAATGAGGCCAAAAAAGCAGCTTTTTAATTGAGGACAGGGACTGGAAACAACCAGTCCTCTGCAAACACAAAGTAAGGCAATTATAAGTCTGAAAGCTTTTATTAGCATGTTGTAAATCTTTCACTGGTAGTTGCACAGAACTAAGTGCCAGTAGTTTAAACAAAAAACTTGGAGAGTTTAAAGAGAAATGTTTTGCCTTATAAATTATGCTCAGGTCACAAACTGCTAGCTTGGAGAGTTCAGAGGCAGGAATGCTGATGAGAATCTAAGAGAATCTGTAGGTCAAACAAGAGAGCCAGTCCACAGAAGCCAGTCTCAGAGCCAAAGTGAAGATCTGTCACAAGTCAGAAGAGTTGAATGTTACAGTAATACAATTCAGAGTAGGAATCTGCTTCAAACAAGAGAAGGGACTGGACCATGATCTTCTATCACTTTCAGTTCCTGATTGCACTTAATACCGGGAGCCTTCTCTTTTTTGAAACCCATACCAGCATCTCCTACTTGGTTCTCTTTAGTTGGCAGTCTGATTTAAGACTTGGTACTTTCCCAAATCCAGGCTCTGACTCTTGATCATTGAATTGGTGACAGTTGGAGTGAGTCAAATCCATCACTTGCAGGTGGCTGAGAGCTTGCTGCTTTTTGACCTGCAAGCTGGGAGACTAATTCTCTTCAGACTCAAAGTCAGAAGAGTTAAAAACAAACATTTAAAGCTTGAATCAATCCTGCCTCTTAAATACTGAGACTCATTTAACTAATGAAAAGCCAGGTAGGAAACAGGCCCAGAGACAGTTGTGATGATCTAGTTCAGGGGTGCCAAACTCACGTCGTCACGGTGGCTTCATGTGACGTATAGGGACTTCCCTCCCTTCACTAAACTGAGCAGGGGCGGGGCTAGCATGTGACGAATCCGGGCTGCGGGCCGCGAGTTTGACACTCCTGATCTAGTTCCTCATTTGCTTTTTATCATTTGTTCTGAGGTTTAGAGATACAAAGATACCATATTAGTGCTGGCAATACCATATCCAACATACATATTAGTGCTGGCAAAATATTTCTGATTTTTAAACAATTATTAAAAACAGTTCCATTAAGTAGATGTGAATGATCTATAGGCCTTCCAAGATGACCCTCTGTTTTACGTCCCTTCTGTGCAAAGTGAACGTAAAACAATTCATGCCAGTGGTAGCATTCTGGAAGTGTCGGCCTTTCTTGTGGCCAAGAAGTTCCCTTCAGAAATTCACTTGATGATTAAGAAAATCCTCAAACTGGTGCTAGAAGGATTATACGACTATTGCAGAAGAAATATTATT